GGTCTCCTGGGAGGTACTTTTGTGTCAGCCAATGTCAGGAACTGTCCAAATTTGGCTCCTGATTTCCTGTTATAGCTGTGGTCAGTCTGTGGCTCTCTGAGGTCCACCTCCACATGTCAGCTACTCCGCCTGCCCCCTGAGGTTGCCTGGTCTTCCTCCAGTATCTTCCAAAGACAGTCTTTCGGTGGAGCCAGGCTAGCCTAGCTAGGGCCAGTGGGCCCTCTGCTTAGAGATTACACAGTCAGGCACTCTGAGGGGAAATTAGTCTCTACTTCAAAGCCAAACTCCTCAATCTCTACCAGGGACTCCAACTCTGGTTCCCCTTAAGGTGGCCTGGTGCAGGTTCAGGCTGGGTACAGCCTGCCCCCTTTTCCGCACGAGCAGTTGCAGCTGCCCTGGGCTTAGTGGGATTGATCAAGAGTCTCTAGTTGACAATGTTGCCAGCTCAGCCCACAGGAGGGGCTTAAGCATTTTCTCCTGGTCCCAGACAATAGCCTCTGAAGGTCTCACTCTTGGGATGTCCTGCTCTGAGCTGTTCTCCCGACCCCCCTCCCCCACCACCGAACTGCACCAGTGGGGCTATCTGGGGCTTCAGAGAGCTGATCCAAACCGTCTCCTGTTGGGGGTTATGTTCCAAGCCTGCAGGAGGGGGGGACATGTTGCTCTGTCTCTCCTTCCCAGGACTGACTGGCTGAACTTCCAGGGAGCTCGGATCAGCCTCCCCACAATGTAGTCACAAAGCCCAGCTCTTGCTCATCTATCTCCCCAATAGAAGCCTTCCCAGGGGATACCATCCAAATATCCCTGCTCTGTGAGGACCTGGCACCCTTGTGCCACAGGTCCAAGCAGAAGGGGTTACAAAGTCAGCCCCACATAGGACTCAGATCTCTGTGCACAGCTGGTCTCAGTAAAGTGGGGGGGGTCGAGAATCCCAGCTCCACTTGTGCCCCCAACTCTCCACAGCGCAAGTCAAAAATCCCCAATCTGCCCTGCCATCAACTGCACAGGATGGAACAGTCCGTTCGACCCTGCACTTGAGCTGAGAGATTCCTCTTCCCCTCCCCCATGCCACACAGTTTAGTCACTGTCCAGGGCTCTGCACAATGCCTTTCAGGAAAGCAGAGGGTCCATCAAAGTCACTGCTGGGTACAACCCTCAGGCCCCTTATTTCTGGAGCCAAACACTGCAGCGCAGCTGTTCCATCAGTCGGAGCCCAGGGTGACCCTCTCTGGCCCAGGCTGCTAACAATAGGTGTGCTCTCTCACTGGGAAGGGAAGGGTGCCCAACCTCCTAGGCAGACAAAGTTTACCTGGTTCCCTCTGCCCGCTGCCATATGGGCTCTCTTTCCAGTCTCTGCTGCTCCAGGTTTGGGATCCCTGCGTGGGATTGTGAGCCCACACTCCCAAGGGGAGGGAGCTTTGCAGCCAATATCAGCCTCTCAGCTGAGCACCAGCTCCAGGGGGGCTTGCCCTTTCCGGGCAACTCCCCTTCTCTTACCATTCTCCACATTGTTTCTTCAATGCTCCTCAGATACAATATACCCAATCAGCTGCACTTCTCTTGTGTTTTTTTTTTTCAAGCTGACTGCACAGTATTTTAGCTGTAAATCCAGCCGGTGGCCGTGAGCAAGGGCACGCAGTCTTCTGTTAGGCCACAGCCATCTTGCCCCATTCTGGCAGCTTGCTTCTTCACAACCACCAAGTTGTATACTGTAACATAATCATGGGCGTGCCAGCTATCATCTTTGCCAGATTGGACTCATCAGAAGCAAGTCACAGGTCCCACTCCCACTCCAAACGGAGGGGGATACATAGAGGTGCAACACCAGCAGGCAGAAATCATTGGGAGATGGCTTAAGGCAGTGGTTCTCAACCTGTGAGTCGCGACCCCTTTGGGGTCGGACGACCCTTTCACAGGGGTCGCCTAAGACCATGGGAAAACACATATATAATTACATATTGTTTTTGTGATTAATCACTATGCTTTAATTATGTTCAATTTGTAACAATGAAAATACATCCTGCATATCAGATATTTACATTACGATTCATAACAGTAGCAACATTACAGTTATGAAGTAGCAACGAAAATAATTTTATGGTTGGGGGTCACCACAACATGAGGAACTGTATTAAAGGGTCGCGGCATTAGGAAGGTTGAGAACCACTGGCTTAAGGTTTCTAAACCACGGCCATGGAATAGCTGTGCTCTGACTTGTGCTAATTGCCAAAGCTTCTGCTTCACAGGCCAATATTCCCAACATAGATGCTCTGGTGAGTCCCCAGATACCTACAAGAATGTCCAGGGAACCCTCAAACAAAGGATTAAAACAAATAAATATACGAACTAACTTTAAAAAGCTACATTCTATTAGCATTTTTGCTATGGAGAATTTCAAACATACACAAAAGTAAAACACCATGATGAAACCTCATGAGTCTGTTACCCATACCTAACAGCCACCAACCCATGGCCAGTCTTGCCCCATGCATGCCCCATCTATTCTTTCCTCTTGAATTATTTGAATGATAGGGCTTCCTATCATTCGTTTCATTTATAAATAGTTGTGAATATATATATATATATATATATATATATATATATATAAAATAACTATTTTTAAAGCATTATCACTATACCATTATCTCGCCTGAAAAATTACCAGTAATGCTTTAATATCATCAAATATTCAGTGTTACAATTCCCAGTTATCTTACATCATCATTTATATATAATTTGTTTGAACCCAAATCCAAATAATGTCTATACACTACAATACATTGGTATGTCTTCTAAATTTCTTCTAATCTGCAGGTCCTCCTTCCATTTTTCTTTCTCTTTTTTTTTCTTGAAGTTTATTTGTTGAAGAGGCAGGATTCCTTTTCTTTTCTTTTCTTTTTTTTGCTTTTGGTCCTGTAGAGTTTCCCAGTCTGGAAACTGCTGACACATTACAGTTGTAAAAGTGAACTTATTGCAAAATCAACTGCACAAATACTGTTAAAAGATTTCCTAAATGGCCTTTTTCTGGGTAATTATATCATCTTTCTTTACTTTTCTTTCCTCCCTGCTTCCTGAATCCATTTATCTTGATCACCTCTGAATCAATAAGGAAAAGTTCTGCAAAATTGCCATCTGCTTTCCTCTGGGGTTTACAACTTAAAACAAATTTTCCTCAATTGAAATCAAATTGAATAAGAGCATTGAAACCAAGGATCCCTCATTAGGCAGTTTGTTATTTCAAAGCATTTTCTATTTACTGTGCCTTATTTAGAATACAGGATAATCCTGTGAAGGCAATTCTGTTTGTTCAAAATGGTATATAATTGGAAATAATTGCAATTCCCTGTCTGACATAAAGCCTCAAGATTTTTTATTAGAGAAATTAAATTTATTAGAAATATTTTACCATCTGAATCTATTAATGTAACATTTCTTTTCATTTATGTTCCAAATTAATGAGTTTGTACCACATCAAGAAATAATCACAACTTTAAATCTAAGTCTTAAAGATCACTCAACCAAAGTTTGCATGGATTTCTTTTTTAAAATGTATTTTTATAGCATTAACATAATTCATGCGTGTAGTTTAAAAAGTCCATAAGACTCTTAGGCTTATAACAAACACAAACCAGCAGTCCCTTTGCCTACATGCCCCACTCCGGAGTCTGGCTACCCGTAGGCACTCTGCACTTGAAAACCAACTTTCCAAAATGTTATGGACCGCTCTCATTCACTGTCATTGCCTTCCTTATTTCCTCTGCCCTTGGGGTATTCTACCTTTTCCATTTTTTTCTCTGTAATTCTTGTGTTTGGGAGGAAGTGTGTGTGTGTGTGTGTGTGTGTGTGTGTGTGTGTTCAGTTTGCCATATTTAGCTTGTAGTTTGCCATATTTTCACTTTGTAGTTCCTTCGTTGTGAGTCCAGAATGGTGTAAAAGTTGGCACCCAAGCCCCATACCCCCAATATAGCCCTCTTCTTGGAGGGGATAGGTCTTTGGGATGACACAAAAGTGTCATACAAAAGTGTCATCCTGCATTTGCTAGCCTGCATGGCCAGTCTCCTGGCTTCCAGAGGGCTGTGGTGAAGTGAGTCCCTCTTCCTCGTGGAATGGTACTTCTGAGGGCTCTGTATGTCATTGTCAGAGTGTCTGCTGTGGCCTCTTCACTCTTGTCCTTTCTCCTTAGGCAGAACCGTAGTGTTGGTCGCTTGCCTCCAACCCCGAGGCCCACCCCCACATGTAACTTTTGTACCCTGATTCTCTTCTCTTTGGGGCATGTGTGTGCCCCTCCCACATCTCTCATGGATACCAAGGAGATTAGGGAGTGGCCCTTGTGCAGTAGTATGCTGATAAATGCTTAACAATTGGCCCTCCAGAGGGACATACTAGTAAGTCCTGATTGGTAGCATTTGCTAATTTCTGTGGTATAAATATTCCTACCGAGACTGATTGCAGGCTGCCAGTGTGATTGGAGTTTGGAATAAAGGTGCATCACTGTCTCTCTGAGCAGTATGAGCTACTCCTGCACAACACTGTCTCTGGGAACAGGACTCAGGGGTCTTCCTTCAAGACTGCCAGACTCAAGGATGAAGTCATTTGTCCTTTTCATTGAGCTCCTCCGTTACTCCTGCCTCGACATTCCCACTGGACTGACTCTGCCAACCCTATGGTTATTCCTGGTCTGTCTGAATGTGCTGGCTCAGACTCCCGAGACTCCACTCTGGGTCAAGAGAAGTCTCCAGTGCTCTGTGTTTGTCTTTCCTGTTGCCTAAAAGTGTGTGTTCTGGGTCATTCTTAATTTTGCTATGTTTCTACTCCGCTCTGATGTCTTCACAAGAACCTCTTTGTAAAATTAATTTCCTGCATTAATATGAAATTGATGGTACGTAGACCTTGTGTTTTATCCAGGTAAACCTTCCTGCAGTGCCATACTGATGGGAGAATCCGGTAACTGGGATTTGCTATTCTGCAGTTCTGTTGATGATGCTTTCTTTCTCCCACAGTTGACAGACCCGTCAGAGTATATGCCGATGGGATATTTGACCTCTTCCACTCAGGCCACGCAAGGGCACTTATGCAAGCAAAAACACTGTTTCCCAACAGCTACTTATTAGTAGGAGGTAAGAAGTGCATTTTCTCTTTGTCTAGAAAACTCCTTTATAATGTGTTTCCTATACAGGACCCCTTTCAGAGTTTTATTAAAATTTCACATTGTTAATGCTTCCAATTTAGCCCATATTGACTCACAAGTTTGCTGTCTGAAATTTGAAATGATGTTTCAAAAACTGAAACGGGATTATAACATGTGATTTATACATCACTAATCCCCAGAGAGAGAGAGACAGGGTAACTGCTTTATGTTTTCTTTCTTTCTTTTTTTTTTCTCCCATTAATCCTCACCGGAGGATATTTTTCCATTGATTTTTAGAGAGAGTGGAAGGGAGGGGGGAGACAGAGAGAGAAACATCATGTAAGAGAGATGCATCGATTGGTTGCCCCCCCCCCCCACCTCCACCATGCACACACCCCAACCAGGGCTGGGGATTGAGCCTGCAACCGATATAACTGCCCTTGACCAGAATCGAGCCTGGGACCCTTCAGTCCCCAGGCCAACACTCTATCCACTGAGCCAAACCAGCTAGGGCTGCTTCCTGTTTTCCATGAATGCTTTTCTTCTTGTGTCTGAGACTTGATCTAATTTATGTTTCTAAAATTTTCGAGAAGGTTAGGAGAAAAGCACTATTATTTGGATATCAAATCTTGGAGAGCTGAAAGGGGTTCAGAATGATTAAGGTTAAACAAGATCATTATCTATTTCCTTTGTGTGACCCAAAGCGCTGAGAATGATGTATTAACATTAGTGACCTATATTCAATTCGTTGAATTTATAAACAGTGTGTTAAAGAAATAGTTAACTATTTATTGAGATCCTACTATGTGCCAGGCATTCTTCTATTTTCTCTCCTTTCTTAACATAAATTATACTTCTTTTTTCACTTTTTTAGTGGTTGACTTAGAATTTGCAATATACATTCTAACTAAGCCAAGTCCACTTTCAAATAACACTATACCAGTAGTGCAAGTTCCTTATAATAATAAAATATTTCTAATTCCTCCCTCCTATCCCTTGAATTATTGCTGTTATTCATTTCACTTATATATAAGCATATATATGTCATACATGATTGACTACATTCTTGCTGTTATTATTTAGAACAAAGTGTTACCTGTTAGATGAATTAAGAATAAGACAAATAAAAGTTAACTTATCCATTCTCTAATGTTCTTCCTTTCTTTATGTAGATTCAAATTTCTAACATATCATTTTCCTTCTCTCTGAAGAACTTTTTTCCCCCTCTGAAGACCTTTTTAAAACACTTATTGCAAAGCAGGTCTACTGGAAACAAATTTTCTTAATTTGTGTTTGTCTGAGGAAGTCTTTATTTCTCCTTTCCTTTTAAAGGATAATTTTGCAGGGTACAGAATTCTAGGTGGGTAGGTAGGTTGTTTTCTCTCAACCCTGTAAATATTTCTCTATTCTCTTCTTGCTTGCATTGTTTCTGGGGAGAAGTCCAATGTAATTTTTAACCTTGCACTTCTAATTGGTAAGGTGTTTTTCCCCCTCTTCTGGTGTCTTTTGAAATGTTTCCTTTGACATTTAACCTGTTTGGTGTCAAATGAGATGAGCGGATCTTATTATTTGTGGATGAATTTATTATTGCTAGAATGAGACATAGTTTAACATTGGTTTTATTCTTATACTAGAGGCCCGATACATGACATTTGTGCACTTGGGGCGGGGCGGGGGATCCCCTCAGCCCAGCCTGCACCCTTTTGCAGTCTGTGAGCCCTTGAAGGATGTCCGACTGATGGCTTAGGCCCACTCCCCGCCTAAGCCGCAGTGCTGCCACTGAGGCGGGAGAGAGGCCCCTCTCCACTGCCACTGTGCTCACCAGCCATGAGCCTGGCTTCTGGTTGAGTGGTGCTCCCCCTGTAGGAGCACACTGACCACCAGGGGGCAGCTCCTGCATTGAGCGTTTGCCTCCTGATGGTCGGTGCACATCATAGAGACCAGTCCTTCTGCCATTCGGTCGATTTGTATATTACCCTTTTATTATATAGGATTTCTTGTTATAGATGTAAGTGCTGAAGTATTTTGTTCACACAAATATTTAGATGGGAATGAAAGAAGTTTGTTATGATGATGCCACTCAATTATTGAATTCATGAGTTATTTTCCAAATGTCACAAAAATAATTTATTTCTATTGTCATAAAAATAATTGTAACGGTCTATCCAGTGACAGTTTATTGAGATCTCCTTTCAAATTTCTTGGAAGCAATGGATATGAAATGACCTGACCTACAGAAAGATTTATTACCAAACTATTAGAATTATTTGCTTTCTCCCTTTCTGGGAAGTATAAGAAAAAGGCTTTACCAAGACTTATCACATGACTCTTAATTATAACCCTTACTCTTTTACTTGAAAGCAATTTACTCACCCCATGGAGCTTATGCCCTGCTGAGGAATACAGCCAGAGGTTCTTTCAATGCCTGAGCTTAACAGGCAGCTGACAGTTGGAGGTGGATCTTGGGGTGCTTTGGGGTGCCCTGGGCCCTGTGCTGGTAAAAGCTAGCCGTAGTGTGCAGCTTGGTCCTTCCTCCATGCACCCAGGCCAAGCAGAGGCAGCCACAAACTGTGGATCACTTGTAGTTCCAAACAGGTTGCCAAGGACCAGTCACAGGCAGCGTCTTGCATTGGCCTGCACCAGAGTCCCTCCCAAGAGGCCCCAGAAACCAACACACCCAGTGGCCAGCTTCAGATAACATCAGAGCAGGATCCAATAAGCTCCGCACACAGTATATCTAAAGGGAGATCTTGGCAAAGCACCAGACCCTGCTGAGGCGAATTCCATTGAGTGTAGTCAGTAGCGACGCAGCAGCTTGCACACTGTGGTCAGGGTTGAGCCTCACAGCCAGCCAGCCTGAGGGTCGATCCCACACATGAACCGGCCAATAGAAATCAAGACTCAGTTACAACAGGAGGGCCCACCTAACCCACACAAGGGACATTCCCAGAGCACCCAGCTAGAGGATCAAAGGGCCTGCACCTCTCAGTCCCACTGGACACCTACCACATAAGGCCACCCTGCCAACACTGGGAGACATAGCAGATCTACCTAATACATAGAAACAGGCACAAAATGGTTTTATGCAAGCTTATCTTGCTGGTATTATTTTAGCGAATCAAAACTGTCCAGTTGTAAAGCTCTTTTCTCCATTTTAATTTAAAACCAGTCATTTAAAAACAAGTCAAGAAATTAACATTTATATTGGAGAGCTTGTTGGTTTGTTTTAATTGTTTAAGGATTTGAGTCACCAAATCCCCATTTCTGCCTCACAGGAGGGGAATAAGAGACAATAATAAACCCAGTGCTACTCGGACTATAGCAGACACAAACATTGCCCCATAAATGTGGGCTTGTGCTCTATGGTATTTTAATTGAAATGAAATATTCCTCGGAGACTGCATTTTGCCTGACTGGTAGGAAATTCAGTCCGGTCCTTGTTGGGCTCTCTTCACCTCCCCAGAGTCAAACAAAATTTCAAAATATTTACAGAAACAAGAGAGGGGCTTCCAGTCTTCAGCCCAGCACTATTTTTGCACTGCCCGTATCATCCAAGCCCACAAAATGATTAGAAGGGACCAGGTCCACTGTACAAGGTGAGGCACCTGTGGTCGGTGCCTAGGCGGAACTCAGTGCTCAGGGCAGCATGGCCCTCATTCCCAGAGGCCCTGCTGCTGGCACCTGCTGCTTTGGGCTCCACAGACCTTTGGAGGAATTCCTCCTCATTTGGAGGAATCTTCTCTCTGTGTCTTCTTCCTTACAGAAATCCACCAAGGATCTCTGGCTGTAGGGAAACAGTAGCCAGAAGGGCATGCTATCTGCCAGCAACATGAACTTCACAACTTTTGTGTGTGGCAGGGGCGGGGCTGTTACAAGAGGCTGGAGAACTGCTTGGAGTGGGAACAGGGCAAAGACAGAGCCCAAAACACAAATGAATATTGCCATCAGTGGTCCTATATTTCTACTACTATTAATAAATGACAGCCCGGCCAGCGTGACTCGATGGTTGAGCGTCAACCTATGGACCAGGAGGTCAAGGTTTGATTCCCGGTCAAGGGCACATGCCCAGGTTGTGGGCTCAATCCCCAGTGTGGGGTGTACAGGAGGCAGCCAATCAATGATTCTCTCTCATCATTGATGTTTCTATCTCTCTCTCCCTCTTCTTTCTTCTCTGAAATCAATACAAATATATTTTAAAATAAATAAAGAAATGGCAAACGTTACTGAGCTCATACAGATGATCAAATTTAATTCTCAAAACTTTGCCATGTTTTAAAGACAGACAACTGAGACTTAAAGAATTTGAATAACTTTCCCAGGGACAACAGAGCCGGCATTAGAACCCAAACCAAATCCAAAGTCCAACCCCTATGTTATATTTTTTTCTCCTGAGAGGTACTGGTAATATATATATTTTTTTAATTTAAAACTTTTTTTCAAAAAAAAATTTCAATTATACTTCAATTAGTGATTAGACATTAATATATCTTATGAAGCGATCACCCAATAAGTGTAGGGGTACTGGTAATATTTTGAGTACAGTGAGCTCCCAGATAGGCTCAGTGCATTCATCCATGGAACACCATGGCTCCGAGTTCTCCATCTGGTTGTCGGAGTGCATTTGCCAAGACTCAAGAACAACAGTGCTGCTCGGGGTGTAATTAATGTTTAGACAATAACTGGTCAGCGTGTTCAGCTGCTTCTTGAGGTCACTTGTGGGGTATGAAAATAGGACCCTGTATTGGCATAAACAGGATGTTTGTTTTCTCTATGCTTGGTCAGGAGGCCATTACCTCGGCCATCTAGAAGTTATAACAAATTGCTCAGGTGCAGGTTCAAAAGGGGGATGGGATATAACCCAGCCTAGTTTTATGTTCTTTTTTGCTGTTGTTGTTAATCCTCACCCGAGGATATTTTTCCATTGATATTTAGAGAGTGGAAGAGGGGGGGGGGAAAGACAAAGAGAGAAACATCTATATGAGAGAGACACATCGATTGGTTGCCTCCAGCAGGGTTGGGGATGGAGCCTGCAATTGAGGTAGGTGCCCTTGACGGGAATCGAACCCTAGGACCCTTCAGTCCACAGGCCAATGCTTTATCCACTGAGCCAAACTGGCTAGGGCTAGTTTTGTATTCTTTAAAATAGAATATTGATGGATCTGAAATCCATTTCTGCTCAATATGATTCCTGAGGTAGTATTTTAGTCAAGTCCTAAAAGAACATTTAAAGTCTTAGATCAATTTTTAAATTGTATAGCTTGGCTCATAAATGATCCCTATTTAGGGAATCAAAAGCTAACACAGTCAGTGAATCAATACACATAACATAGTCATTATAGCCCTACTCCTTGCCCCCCGCCCCACCCCGAGACAGCTGGGCGTGATGGGTGATTAAAAAACAGGCTGGGCTCTTTACTCAAGATGTTCATAATATACTTCAGGGACTTTCAAATGTTTTATGCATCAGAATTTTCCCTGAAACTTGTGAAAAATGGAGCTGCCTGGACCCCACTCCAGACCCACTGTCTTAGTCGTTCAGGCTGCTACAACAAAATACCACAGACTGGGTAGCTTAACAACAACTGAAGTTTATTTCTCACGGTTCTGGAGTCTGGGGAGCCCAAGATCAAGGTGCTGACATGGTCTCCTGGTGAGGGGCCTCTTCCTGATTCATAGCTGGCACCTTCTTGTTTTCTTACATTGTAGAAGGTTCTAGGGCAGCCGTGGGCAAACTACGGCCCGAGGGCCGGATCCGGCCCGTTTGAAATGAATAAAACTAAAAAAAAAAAAAAAAGACCGTACCCTTTTATGTAATGATGTTTACTTTGAATTTATATTAGTTCACACAAACACTCCATCCATGCTTTTGTTCCGGCCCTCCGATCCAGTTTAAGAACCCATTGTGGCCCTCGAGTCAAAAAGTTTGCCCACCCCTGTTCTAGGGAGTTCTCTGGAGCCTCTTTTATAAGACACTAATCCACCCTCATGATCTTTGTACCCCTGAAGGGTCCACCTTCCATATCATTACCTTTGGGAGTAATTCGGGGAGGACACATTCAGACCATAGCACCCCCTGAGTCAAAATCATGGGATGTGGGGCCCACTCATCTTTATATTTAACAATGTCTTTAGATAGTTCTGATAGTCATCAAGGTTTTCAAGTCAGCCATGTGGCCGATGGTGTTCCAGTAATATAAACCACCACTATACTGTTTTCTATATATGTCTCTGCAGCATCTAAGGAAATATGTATAGGAGATATATAGGCATGCATGTGTGTATCTAGAGACCCCCTGGCCTCTTACTTGCATGTATGGTGTTGAAATGTGCCTGCAGATAAATATACATCTATTATTTTAAATCATAGTAAACATTTATTGAGCATCCTATATAATAAAACCCTAATATGCAAATCGACCAAATGGTGGAATGACTGGTGGCTATGATGCGCACTGACCACCAGGGGGCAGACGCTCAATGCAGGAGCTGCCCCCTGGTGGTCAATGCACTCCCACAGGGGGAGCGCGGCTCAGCCAGAAGCCGGGCTCACAGCTGGCAAGCACTGCGGTGGTGGTAGGAGCCTCTCCCGCCTCAGCTGCAGGCGGGCAGTAAGGAGCGAGGGGTCCCGGATTGCGAGAACCCTGGACTGCGAGAGGGATGTCTGACTGCCTGGGAATTGGGTCTAAGCCAGCAGGCGGACATCCCCAGAGGATTCCTAGACTGCGAGAGGGTGCAGGCTGGGCTGAGGGACCCCCCCCCCCAAACCTCCAGTGCACGAATCTCATGCACCGGGCCTCTAATCTATATATATCAGGTACTGTTAATTCATTCAACAAGTATTTGTTATGAGCCTACTATGGGTCATCAGAAAATGAAAGAGACAAAAAAGTCCCTGTTTCCAGGGAGCTTATATTTTAGTAGAAGAACACCTACCATAAACAAAATTAAATAAGACATTTATATGATGACAAGCACCATGGCAAGAAGTAAACTGGGGAGGGGATTGGGACTGCCAGTGGCAGTGGTGGGGTCACAGTTTAGAACAGGATGGTTGGGAAAGACTTGAGGGAGGACAGGGAGTGAGCCCTATGGATAACTGGAACAGAGCTGTCCAGGTTTGGGGAACAGAAAATGTGAAGCCCTGATCTAAAGAAGAGTATTCCAGTGGCTTCAGGAAACAGCAAGGAAGTCAGGGGCTGGGATGAAATAAAAGATGAAGTCAAAGAGGCAAGGAGTGGGTGGAGCTGTGGCTCTTGTAGGAGGAGCCTGTAGGCCACTGGAGGAGTTTAGCTTTTACTCTGGGGGAAATGGGGAGAGTTCTGAGCCTGGAAATGAATGACAGAGTTTAACGAATTTCACAGG